CTGAGCAGTGACAACCTGACCTTTTCTTCAGTAAGCTGAGAGGAGACCCACAGGCCATGCAATAAAGGTTTGGGGGATAAGCAAAGCTGTGGGAGAATAGGGACACCACCACCCCTCTCAAAAGCAAGAAGATATCAGCTTAGCTCAGCAATCTTCACACTAATGGTTGCAATGATTACCTTCAGGATACAGAACATACCTAAAGCACCTGGACCCTTCAACAGGAGCTTCTATTGAGCTCAGGATGAAGATAACATAAAAGCTTAATGGCAACAAATTATATTTTAAGTCTTAACTACTCCATTGTTAACCATTTTAGTAGAAACAGCAAGCTAAGGTGTTTATCTGCTGGCAGTGACTTCTCCCCTGGGTGAACTTCAATTAAATCTCTTCAACCATAGGGGGAAGAATGTAAAATTTAACTCTCTCTCTTTCTCACCACATCCTAAATCTTCTCAAACTGGAAGAAGAAGTGCATTTCCAGAAAGGCTGAGTAGTCACAACAGGATATTAGGTTTGTGGGGCTGCAAAACACAAAAGGTCACAGCAGAGAGGGCTCATTAACCAAAAGTGTAAAAGACCACCTTTGTCCTTCTCAGCTGGAGAAATGATGAAGGCAAATTTCAGAAGCCAACTCTTAAACCTAATAGCTATGGCAAAAGAGTAAATTAGCTCTACCCTTCACTGAAATGAAGCCAAAGCCCTGCCCCGCTGTCACAACTGTGTTTGAGTACAGACACAGGTAGTTATTGCTGAGTTTCTGACCTGCTGGAGAGTCACTCCCCCACTTACTGTGTGACAAGTGGCTGACAGCCCTACACCTACAAGCTCAAGCTGGGTTTTGATGTTAATATTAAGCAGTTGTACCAGAGGAGGGATAATGTTCTTGATATTGCTCTTGCATCCAGAGAAGAGATAATGCTCTTGCTCTTCTTTTAACTTTTGGATGACTAAGGTACCAGCTTCAGTCTTTAGCAAGAATTAGGAACAGAGATACCTCAAGTGTTGTCAGCTAAATTGTGCTAATCTCCTCACAGTGTGGCTTATGAGATTTTGCAGATTGCCTGTAAGATTTAGCCTGGCACAACTGAAGGCAAGTTCCCTTGTAATAAGCTAATAAATTGTACTGAATTGCCTTCTTACCTCTTATGAAACCATGTAAGCTCAAACAAGTGGGATAGAAAAATTTAAATTCTATGTTGACGTGGAAGGAAACGGTAAATTCCAGTTTCATTCCAGTTCCCACCAAAAGTTAGTGGTTCCTTGCTATGATGCCACTCCCTTAACAGGTTAGGAAGGGAGCACCCAAGATTCATTGATTGTGGTTGAATGGAATGATGTAAGTCAGAGGGTACCTGCAAAAGCTTACAAAGTTTTTAGCAAACTACACACTTGGCATGGAAATTAGTCCCAGACCTCCTAGTATAAGCAGTGGGTTTTGGATTAAGGGATAAGGTGAAAGGGAAGAGGAAAAGAGAGAGATTAATTGGAGAGGGAGAGAAAGAAAAGAGAGAACAAGAGATCACCAGTCCTTGCTCCAGCGTTGATCAAGGTGTGGTGTCCATGGTCCTGGGGTGCAGGTGCAGAACAAGTGCACTGGGCTTTGTGGGGATACCTATTTATAAGAAAGTTTTCTCTCCCTTGGAGGGAAGTTTCTAGCTTTCCATGTAAATTAATTATCATTGCCCACTCCTCTAGACCTTTCTGGAAATTAGTTGGAGGCTTTGAGGGTCTTCAGTGGTCTCGATCCCCTCTACAGTCCACATTCACTACTCAACCTCATTCCTGTGTTTGCACTGTGTTGGGCTTATCGCCAGGATCCAGAACAAGGGTGTTTGTCCAGAAAAGTGCTGCCCGACCTTCACAGGGCCCCTTCTCCAACCACATCCTATTCTTTCTCACAGAGTTCTTGTCTGTTATTACCAACAACCCTTGTTTGGCTCCACAGCCATCTGGCTATCAGTGTTTGAGACATACACATTAGCCCTTTATCTTCTGGGCTGCCACACCTCTTCTGACTCAGTTTCTGTCACCCGCTCCGTGCGTGCTCTTAGTCACTGTTTCCCAGAAAGGGTGTGTAGTGGGATGGCACGGGCATCTGCGGAGGGGACAGCAGATTAAGTGCTCCCAAAATTTGGAGCTTCCCTTTAAGTTTCGTCCCGATGACGCCGACACAAACACAGCGAGGCTGCAGCCGCAGCTTCGACCACGCGATGGTGCCAAAGCGCCCAGGTTTGGGGATCGCGGTCCCACCTGCCGGGCCAGCCCGCACGGCCGAAATCTGCGGGGAAAGGTGAAGGGAAAGGAAACGCACCAGTCTAATACCATTCATACGCACCAATCTAATACCATTCATACGCACCAATCTAATACCATTCATACGCACCAATCTAATACCATTCATACGCACCAATCTAATACCTTTCATACGCACCACACACATGCGGATTTCTCTCCGCAGTTTCAGGAGCTCTTTCTCACAGATTTCGTTCCTCATTAGCGCTACAATGCCAAGCTAGAGAAGGTGCCTACCTTTAATTATATCAATTACCCTTAAAACCATACTCACCCCCTATCTTCAGTGACGTTAAACTGCATTAAAATGCGTTTTGATTAAGCAGACTTAACTATAAAATAGTGTTTAACGTGACTTTGAAACCACTAAAACAAGTGAATTACAGATGACCATCTTCCTCAGAACTGTTACATCAAACATTACAGTCTCAGCAAACTGCAGAGCGTTCTAGAACAATATGTAAAATATATTTCTAAAAATCCGCTGTGATCACTGAAGGCAGAGAGCGGCAGAGAGGGCAGTACAGGCTGAAGTACAGGTCACAGAGGAAAGGTTCTCCTCATCTTCCCACTGACCTGCTGTAGGACATCAGGTGAATCAGTCACCTCATCAATACTCTGGTCCAGCCACTGCAAACTGCAGGACTGGGGCTGCCTATGACCAAACACGTGTACAGGGGCACTCTCACCTCCGGTGAGCCCATAGGAGCTGGCAAAGTCACAGACAAGGCCATGGTGAGAACTGGTAGAAAATGCCAAAAGTCTACTGGAGCTGCATCAGAAGATCACAATTTTGACATTGTGACACGTGTACTGATACACAAAAAGAGATGTATAGTTTTCTTTATTTGATGTGTGTATAGAATGTAGTAAAAAGAGCCCTTAAAGGGGCTTATTGTGCATAGTTGGAGGCTTTAACTATGGCTCAGCCCTACAGAGAGAGAGAGCTGGCAGACCTCTTTAAGACAGCTTTTGACTGACAGAATAAAAGAGAAAGGCTCTTATCCTTTCAAAAAAAAAAAAAAAAAAAAGGAAGACACCTTCTAGAGAGGGCAGATCTCACATTTTGCTTATTATTTGAGTCCTCATGAAATCAGCTCTGACACAGCCTAAGATTTGGCTCCGTAACAACAGGTTTGGTGTGGGTTTTTATTGTTTTTTGATGGCTGTTTTTGAGTCCTTTAGAAATTATTTCAGCTGTCTTTGATTTATCTAGCCTTGGTATCCAAATTTGCAAAAAACCCTGTTTCTCCTTACATGCATGGAGCGTGCAAATGGGGATGGGAATGAGATCACAAAACAGTTCAACAGCAAGGACCATCAACTTTTCACATGAAACCTGTATAAATTGTAGCCAGTATAAATCACCAAGCTCAATCTCTCACCTCCCAGGATGTCAGCAGTCCCCAGACTAACTGCCCAACACAGTCCCCTTGTCCCGTTCCCACAACACGACAGGGGTTGCCCAACTAACTATTGTTTATTCACATTCAATCAATGTGTCAAGGTCAGAAAACATAACAGAAGAAAGAGTTTTGTCTGCTCAATTTTATTTTAGAATCTTTTGCATAACCTCTGTGCATAAATTTCCTTTGAGACTGTAAATCCTAATACCAAAGGGGGCATTGCTCACCCTGTGTGCTTCCGGAGCTGGTAACTCCAAGTGGCACCTGGCACAGGGATTTCATTCTTTCCAGTAGGATACAACTGGCCCAGTCATCACAGCAGCCAGAAAAATATTTTCCAGTTAAAGTATCTGTGGATATGATATGATATCATTTCCAATGATACTTTATCCAGTAAAGTATGGAAATGATGGTTGAGACAATTACTCTGCTAGCAACCAGACTAGATTTAGTAGTAACACAATGAAATCCAGTGATAGCACAGCAGTCCAATTTAGACCAATGGTGGACTCTTTGATTCAGCCTTTTCCTCATATCCCCTCTTCTACCATCATTTCACCCTTAACTGTCGGTACAGACAGGGCTGGAGGCAAAGGCAGCATCCAAGTGCAACGTGAGCAATTCCTGCTGAAGACATTTCTGCACAGCACACTCCTAAAAGAGCCAGAGAACACTGGTATTTTGCCTACAGCTGGCACTTTGATTTTGTAACTGTTACTAGCAGTATATGACTTTATAAAAATTATTTCTGACCTAATGTGCATGTTGTCTCAATTTTTCACTTGGCCTGAGCAGAAGCTCAAAATCAAATCAGTTTATTAGAATAATTTTACTGCATGTAGATTCTGTCACAAGTATTGCTTACAGGATTACAAAACTCACTCTCTTCAAAGCACAGCTGGGATCTATATTAAGCCTAGAGAAAATAGCTAGAACTCTGCCAGCCTACAAAGTGATGGTATTATTCTCTTATATCAGGCTTCACTGACATACAGATATACCCAGTGGGCACTAGAAACCAGTACAGAGTTTGTGAGACTTGACTATTTCATAATAAAATTTATTGCTTCTATTTATTATTTTCCCAAAGAAGAAACCAAGATGAGAACAGGAAAACATAAGATAGAGAATTCTTCAGAAACCATGTTTGTATTGTGATTTCAAAAAGAACAGCAATTTGAGAAGCAGAGAAGGAATATAAGACTCTTCAAATACAGAACTCTGATTCCTCTTCTATTTCTAGAATTACATTACAGTATTCCTAGAACCACAAGTTCAGAAAAAGAAAATGAGAATGCTAAAGTCTGAAAAATACAATTCCTTCTGCAAATGTGAAAAAAATAACATGATACTCTATTGTTGTGGTATGACTTTCAGAGTGAATGCTTTATGGAAAACATTGTAACGAAATTCATAGAAAAATTTGAAATGATTGCTAACACACACAGATATGAAACACAAAGATAATAACTGTTATAAGAGAAATAACTTTTTCAAAACAGTCTTATTCACTCTGGCACCTTCTTTCCCACATCACATTTGTAAGAAATCCTTAATTTACATGAAGAAACTTCTTCCATCATAAAGTCCTTTCCCTTTTATGTGCTTCCCACTACCTTCCCATCTAAGACACAGTTACATCCACTCAATGCCCTCTAGTAGTTTCACAAACTTACTGCTTTTGAGTCACTCTTCTTGTCTTATTTCAATGCACATTTTGGGTGTAGGCACAATCTGAAGGGATGGGAGGGTACAGGGGAGGAGAAAGCATACCTGCAGTACATCTGTACTTCACACTACAAGGTGCAGGAACCATGTTTTCCTAGATAGGCAAAACTTTGTGAAATTATGCTAAAATATACACAGTAAATGGCACAATAAACTTGCAAAGTCAAGTGCCCAAGAGACAGTAAATGCCAAAAATAAGGTAACCCACATAACCTTAATCCAGGACCCATGGGTTTACATATTGTGGTAGCATTATCAATTTATAAGACAGAATACTATCTTTTCAAAATCATCATGCCTTGCTCACCACACAAAGCAGCTGGGCTCATGAAAAGCAATCATTCAATATCTTTGTTGTTCACTGATCCAGGCCTTCTCTCCCCCGTGTTCATCTAATCCTGTTCTGAAAGCAGAAAAGCCCATCAGGAAACAACTGGTTTGATCATATCTTTGCCACAGTATTCAGGTAATCTCACAAACATTTATTTGCATTTATTTCACAAAGGTATTATGCAGTGCAGGTTTTGTAATGCCCAATACAGAGTAAGAAATGAGTGGGTATTAATTTGAAGTGCTCATAACTTGCTTGGCTGCTGAGTCTTAGAGTACCCTATGCATCCGGCTAATGATTTTCATATTCAAAGTGTAGTTTCCACCTGGCACCAGGAGGAGCAGGAGCTCCTCCTAATTTATGCAAAACAACTCACAAACAAGGGAGGGACTCTTAATGCCACCTACGAAAATCTAGGTTTAAGTGATTTACCCATTGTCACATACTATCATGTAGCAGTGGGAGGGATATAACTTTACTCTCTTAAATACTGTTTGCTATAAACACACCTTCATTTTACTACCTGCATTCTCCTGCCCACTCACTTATTCTTCTAGACAACATATTTTTTTCCAGTGTTGCTCAGGCACATTTTCAAAGTATTTCTATAATTGGCTGGAATTTCTAAATACACAGCAGAATAGCTCTGGCCAAATAGTCGTATGGGTAGTAATCCTTGGGATGTTTTGCACATAAATACAGTCTTACTACATGGATGTGACACAGGTGCTGTCTCCTAGCAAAACAGATAAAACATTCTCTAGCACTGCTAGATTTCCTGTGAACTAACACACATTGCTTCCCAAGGAATCCAGGACAAAAAAGCCCACCAGAAAACAACTATTTTGAGTCAGATAATCTCAAACATTTATTTGCATTAATTTTACAAAAGCTATTATGTGCTGCTGGTTTTGTGATGCACAACACAGAGTAAGGAATGATTAGTAATTTGGAGTGCTCATAACACATTTTTACTTACAATGCACTGGGAAGTCTTAACCTCCCTACTACATGGTAATTCACCCTCAAAGCCTGGTTTTCTCTGCCTTTACTTGCAGAGAGCTTCATCAAGATCCTGGAGACTAAAATTGTTCAAAGACCCCAAGAAATACTCACAACTTCACAGAATCACAGAATGGGTCAGGCTGAAAGGAACCACCGTGGGTCATCTGGTCCCACCTCCCTCCTCAAGCAGGGTCATCTCACAGAATTGTGTCCAGATGTGTCTGGAATAGTTCCAGTGATTCCACACCTTCTCTGGACAATCAGTTCCAGTGCTTGGTCTTAAATTCTTCTTCATGTTCAGGTGGATTCTCTGTACATCCATCTGCCCATTCCTCTTGTCCCATGGCCCCACGGAGCAGAGCCTGCTCCATCCCCTGTCCCCTCCCTGCAGACACTGACACACAGGCATGAGGGCCCCTCTCAGCCCTCTCTTCTCGAGGCTGAACAGGCCCAGCTCCCTCAGCCTTTCCTCACTGAGATGCTCCAGTCCCTCCATCTTCTGTCACCCTCTGCTGGATCTGCTCCAGGAGCTCCGTGTCTCTCCTGTCCTGAGGAGCCCCGAGCTGGACACAGCACTCCAGGAGATCCTCACAGGGCTGAGGAGCAGGACCACCTCCCTTGATTGTAATGATCACTGCATATTACAGTAATACTAAACATACGCTGAGCAAAGTGCACCACTTGCCTCTTCCTATCACTGGCAGCGACAGCGGAAGTGAAATGAGCATGGCTGGGGCAGTCAGGAAATTTGTTAGTATTGATGTTCTCAAGAAAATTTAAGGAAGAAACCACTGAAGGAGGGGGCATAGACAAGGGAAAGAAGAATAACGACAGTGCCAGAACGAACCCCGCACGGCCCCACACCCCAACACCCCCTCACTACACTGCTGCCGAGAGGGTGGAGCCGGCGCCTTGCTCTCTGAATGGTGCATTCGACTGTCAATCACAGATTTGCCCCGCCTCGTCATTTTTAAGTTGAAGAGCGTGGGCGGAGCAAACCCCCTACCCCTCGCGCTTCGATTGGCTGAATCAGCTGTCAGTTGGCTCCGCCTCCTCGCCGCTCCCTCTGGACTTACAGTGCCGGGAGGAAAATGGTGCAGAGACCTCTCGAGATCTGATTGGCCAAGTGGGAACGCCACTCAAATACATACTGCGCCCCCGGCGGGGCAGCTGACTGCACAGCCCCGTGACAGGGATGACGCTACGCCGGCGATTGGTCAACTCTGTCGAGTCCCGCCCATTCATCCTCAATACGGCTCGCCGATTGGCTTCGGTGGCTGTCCGTCAGGCGGTGGGCGGGGCGCTCGGTGTGTGTGTCCGCGGCGCGGCCCGGCGGCGGCTCATGGCGGT